AAAAGTGAAAAACGAGATTTTGACTAGACCTGTCCCAAATTCATAATTAAAAATATATTTCTACTTGGTTCTTTGGTCAAAAAAATTTTTTGGATGTTTTATTTAAATTGACATAATTCTGACATAAATCACATACCAATATTACTTTTTGTAATGCATAGCTTAAAAAAAATCGAAATCTAAAATTTCGACTACCCCATCTGAATTTTGTTCATACTCTTCACTGTGGAAACCAAAAAACAAATTCTTTATCTTAAAACACTTGAAAAAATAGCGACATAATTCAGGATTAATTCCTTTTTAATAATATTTTAACATTTACGAGAAAATGTGGTTCAAATAGGTGTGAAGTATGGCCGATATTTGGACCAAAATCAGCTATGCTGGTTCATAGTGTTCCCGACGGTGACAAAATTCAAACTAAGTGTTTTTGTAGCTGACATAATTATGACATAAATTAGGTATAACTTTTGAACTGTGTGGGTTTCGGCCGTACTTCACGCCCACCCTTCAAACTTATGCTGAGCAAATCTTGGTCTATCCATAAGACTTTTGATGGTACGGTGTGAATATATCCGCATTGGGTTTCTACCCGATACGCTAGTTTTTCTCGTGTTTTCTACAGAAACATACTTAAACTATTTGAAAAACACCAAAAAAATACTTACCGGTAAATATTTACAGTAAATGAGCTTATAGAAAGTATCAGATTTTTAGCGCATTTTTGAAAACTTGTTTTCGAAAAGGGAGCTCAATAATACACTTTGTTCGTTCGTTCGTTCGTTCGTTCGTTCGGGCAAGCATAAAAACTTTGCAACCAGACATCGTAGAGAGCTCGGATTTGTTTTATTAGCTCCGTTACTATTGTTTATTATCCGATCGAACAGTTAAAAGTCTTCAAGCAGTGTATTTATGCTATAATTAATGAGTTTTTGTTTTGTTTTCAGTGTAACCTGCTCAAATTTTGTTTAACCTCTTTAAATTCAAATTTACCTCTATAATTTCAAATTTTTTCTAGCCGTTGTAAAATTTCAAATTTTAAAAAACCGTTAAATGATAAACTTTTTCTATATGGAAATTCATTGCAGCAAATTATTAATTATAATCAAATACTGATCGCTTCGTCAAAAATGCGCTGAAGTCCCTCGATCAATAACACGAGGACTTTTGTAATTTTTTTAAATGATATTAGATCATCTAAAAATCAATGCTTTTGCTTCGTACTCGTATTGTGCGTTAAATGTTTAAAAAATAATTATTTTTGAGTTTTTCAGATAGTTTAAGTATGTTTCTGTAGAAAACACGAGAAAAAATAAAAAGTTTATCTTTACTATATCTGATAGGGTTGGTCAAACTATGGCATGTTTCCCATACGCTAGCAGTGTCTTGGGTAAATTCTCAACTCAAAATTCGATTTTATCTTATAGCCAGTACTTTTATCTTTCCAACAGTATCAAATTTATAATATATACTTGAGATTTTATATAGTTTTGAGCAAAAATGTTAAGTGTGGTTCTTCACACACCTCGAATTTTGAGTAATTTTTCAGTTTTTTCAATATTATTCAGGGATATTGTACTCATGTATGACATATTATATATCGTTAGAAAGGTAATTTAAGCAGCTTAACATAAAAGGTAATGCAAATACTTTTTGTTAATAATCTTTCTTTATTTCAAATTTGGAATTATTGTAGTTTAAGTTACATTTCTTTGAGTCTTATTTTGACACCAGCCCAAAATGGCTTTAATTCAACTATATCTTGATTAATTAATAATTTTAATGAATGAGATTTACATATATCATGAAAATGTGGCATAAAAAGTTTAAAAAAATTGCCGAGCGAGAAAAAAAAAAGCTTTTTTTTAAGCTTATGAACTACTTTAATAAATTATTTTTGAACTGGATTGTTTGGTGCTGGAGGGCAGACAATGAAGCCATACTTCACCATGATTTTAAATGCAGTTCCTTGAGGTGCATCCTTTGGGATCTTTCCGGCTTCGTCTACGAAACTGCAGAACTGATTTATTGCTTCTTCAATGTTGGGGATTCTCTTTAGACGTTCTTGAGCTTCTGTGAATTTCTTCACTCATAGAAAAAAAGTAACCATAATATTTGTTATATGTTTGTTAAACTAGTTTAACAAATTATTGGTTAAGTTTACATGGGTAAAAAAAATTTCAACCAAACTATTTGTTAAAAATTTTACAATTGAGTTTGTTAAATCAACAAATTTATTTGTTAATAATTGATTTAATTAAATTTTAATTTTTGTATTCAAAACTCTTGTTTGATTAATTTCAAACGATTCCCATTAATTTATTGCGTTATTTTTAATGAGAAAACTGCTTTAAATTGAATTTTGTTGATTTTGTTTAACAAATTAATTTGTTAATTTTAACAAAACATTTGTTACAATGTTTTTATTTGTAATTTGTTTTGGAAAATAATGATTTACAAACCAAATCGTAATTTAAAAATTAAATTTGTTCATTTTTTTAAGTCCTACATTTCTATTTTATTATTCATAAATTAATTTTAAAATTTGGATATATTTTTTAAAGAATTATTTATATTGGTTCTGAATCAAATTTTATAAGTAAAAGTTTACAAGCAGCGGACTAGCGGATCATCAACAGGAATTCAGAAGTTAAGCAACCACGGAAACATTTTAAAATAAGATGGGTGACCAAATTAACAATTTTCTGGTTAATATTAACCGAAAATTTGTTATTTTTTTCTGTAAAAAAAAATTTTAACAAAAAGTTTGTTAAATTAACAATTTTTATAGTTAACAATTCAACCTTACAAATAATTTGGTTAAATTTAACAAATAAGTTCGTAAACACTATTTTAACGAATTGTTTGTTAACATTTTCCATACAAGTTACAAACATTTTGTTACTTTTTTTCTATGAGTGTTGAAAAGGCTTTCATTCTTTACTGCTTCGTTGAGTTTCTCTGCATAACTGATATTATTGATCAGTTGTTGCCGATTAATCTCTTCTTGAAATGTTGCTGATGAGTTACTTGCAGCATTCACTGGATGTGAATGAGCAGAAACTTGATGTCGTTTGCTTAACGATGGAAAATTGTTACTGTCTAAAAGACTTGATATCTGTGGCAACATTTTGAGTTGTGGTTTGGCTCTTGACTTTTCGATTCTTTTGGAATAAGAAATGAACGATGGGCACAGTCTATAACTGGCAGCATGATCGCCATTGCAATTAATGCACTTGGCATTTCCATCACGAGTGGATCGTTGAAATTGATTTGGTCCGTGAACTTCCGTGCACTTGACGCATCGGAACTTATATCCACAATTTTGAGATGAGTGACCCCAACGTTGGCAGTTGAAGCACTGCGTTGGACTTTTGTTGCCCTTCTTGATGTTCTCCCACTTGACGATGATGTTGTCGATGTTACGGTGGTTATGATTGAGCACGTTGATGTTCACACTTTCATCTTGAAAATGCACAAGATAAAAGGTGAACTCGGGCTTCTTGACGAGAATTGTCACTTTGACCTTAGCTTCTTGAAGTAATCTTAGTATTTCATTCGTTGGTGCTTCGTAAAATCCTTTCAGAATGAATGACTTTGTTTTCTCCGATTTCTCGAAATTATTTTTCTCACTTCATTAGTATTTTGCTGGATGAACAAAGACTTTTCAGCCTTTGCAGCTGTTACTGGAACTTCAGGTTCCGCCGTGGAGTTTTTTTTTCTGGAACTTGTTTTCTTTGTTTCTTTGATCCACTCGGGATTTCATCAAAGTCCATTTTTGGACTTAAATCCTGCTTTCTTTTGAGTCTCTTCATTCCCAATGGGCAGCAGACAGCACCGTGCACTTAAATAAATAGTTTAAACAACTATAAATAACTAGGAAACTATTTAATTAATTAAATGAAATTTTTTCACACGTTTATGCACGAGGGGCTTTGAACTTTTTCACTTTTTGTTAAGCATATAGTGTATTTAAAGTCATTTACGTCTCATTGAAAATGGAAAATGATGACATTTCAAATAAAAATGGTCCATAGTCCATGACAAAAACTCAAATTGATTTTAGAAAATCAAAAACACTATTTTTTATCATTCCTGAAAGTTTTATTTGTTCATGATTTTGATGAAAAAAGTTGAGAAAGATTTTTGAGGTGCATGCAGATGACATGTTTCAAATGATTAAAAGTTGAAAATTTGACAGAACTTTTTTCCAGGTTTTAACAGTTTCAGAAATATACAAATGAAAGCTATGTAAAACAGTTAAAACTTGTCACTCCACTCACTTGGAATATGCAGTTATAGTCAATTGAAGTCAAAACATAGTAAAAAACCGTATATTTTTTGAAAAAATCTCAATTTTTTGATGCATAATTATAATTTAAAACCTTGAAAGGGATATTTTTCTTGTTGATCTAGTAAAGGGCTACAATTTAATGGAAAAAAACATTTAAATGCATCAGAAATCTACATACTCAAAAAAAGTGTGCCGCACTACTAACATTTGAAGTTTCGTCAATTTTTAAGCACTTTCCATGAAGTAAAACTTATGTAACTGATATTTATATTAAAGTTTCGGCTTATATTTGTCATTTAAAAAAAGTTTCAAGAAAATGGGTTGAGACAAGAAAAAGTTCTGATAAATTGAAAATATTAAGTATCGAAGGTCATCAAAATACATTTCGGACTATATCTCCAGCATTGCTGCACTTTGAGCCAAAATTAAAATATATTCTGATTCCTTGCATAAAGACCTTTCAAATAAGCCAATAAAATAATTTTTGGAAAAAAATTTCGATTTTATCCCATAGTGCTCTGTATGCATATAAAGTGGAAGTACGAATGTAGTTAGCTATGTAGATTTGAATTTTTTTTCAACGTATAATCGGAAGCAAAATCAAAGGGAGAAAAAAGGTCTTGAAAGTGCAGTTTAGACTAAACAATTCAACTTGAATTTTAATTATTTTTTTTTGTTCTTTCTCTTTGATATCTGTTGTATGTAGAAGTGAATCAAGCGCGTTCATCGAATACAAACACAACGAATGACGTATTAATGTCAGAAAAGTTAGTGGAAAAACCCCTGTTTCTACCAACGATGCCACCTACATCATCCGATTCTCTAGAACATGAAAATCAATCGTCAAAAGTTGTTGTGTGCACATATAAAGATAAAATGTATGCAGTTGATGAACGCATCGAAATTGGATGCGATGAGATTTGTTCATGTCATAAAAATGGTGAAATGATTTGTGTGCCGCGATGTGCCAAAATGAATATGACATATTCAGATCATTGCGTGACTGTCAAAGATACAAAGGATGCGTGTTGCGAAGTACAACTATGTGACGTTTCATTTGATGATCATGAGCAAAATGGATTTATTCCAATGACAGGGCAGTCAAGAGAAGACGGTACAGATCTCGAAACTATTGAATGTGAATACAAAGGGAAAAAATATAGTTTGAATGATCAATTTCATGACGAATGTGACTCATTATGCTTTTGTGATACTACAGGTGTTCAATGTTCTAAAATTCAGTGTCCATCAACATTCGGATTAGATGTTGTCGATCCACATTGCCTTAAATGGGAACCTGAACCAGCTACTTTTCGTGCAATTGCACCAAAATGTTGTCCTGAAAGAATGCGATGCATTGATAATGGTACATGCGAATATAAAAGTCAAATGTTTGATAATTGGTCTGAAATCCCCTCAAATATTTCCGGGTGCGAGCAACATTGTTTTTGTGAAGGTGGCAAAGTAGAGTGTCGACCAGTTTGTCCACCAGTTACTGCTCTACCACCAGCATCACTTCGTTGTAATGAAAAATATGCAAAACTTGTTTCAATTGATGATGAAGATGACTGTTGTAAGCAATGGGTCTGCAGTGAAAATAGTGGTAAGTTCAAATTTTACCTTAAACGTTGTTTTTTTTGTCTCGAAACCGCTTTGGTGCTTGTTATCTATCTGACGTAAACATTCATTTGTGTTAATTTGTTTGTCTTGTTCAAAATTATACTAACCACATTCTTTGCCATAGAAACTATTTCCTCTTCGCTTCAATTTCATTTTCACTATCACTAATAAAACGGAATTCATCTTAGAAAAAAACCACCATCACAAAACTATCATTTCAGAAGCTGACAAATCTATGACTTCATCAGATCCCGCAATGGCCATTAACAATAAAGACAGTAATAATAGTAATAATAAAAAACCTCATGACTCCGATAAATTTATACCAACGAAAATGCCACCATCGGACCATGAAAATGATACAAGCGACATTAATTCTGAAGAAGATGATCATAAAGTTGAGGTGCCATTTTATCCTACTATTGATGGAAAACCACCAAAAACACAGCAAGAAAAGCTTTACAAAAAATATCATAACAAAGATACAAAAAATAAAGATCAAAGCACATTCATTTCTAATCCAAATTACGAAAACAAGCATTATAATATTTATGAAAATCATGATCATAATGAAGAATTAAGGCCACATCAGCCAGGACCAGGATTTTTCAATCCTGATACGAGTAAAAATCAATATCCTGAACTATCAGGACATGAACATTCCCAAATACCTGTCGACAAACAGTTGTTTAATATTTTGGGACAAAATCCACAGAATCTTCCTCCACATATTAGAATCGATCAATTATTACAGCACATTCAAGGTCAAGATCATCAGAATCAAGGTCCATTAATACACGGGCAAAATATTAATATACCATTTCAACCAATTATTCCAAATGGAATTAATTATAATCAATTTAACGAAAACGGAGATCATATACATAGACCAGGTTACTTTTTCTTCTTTTTCATTAACTTAACATTTTTAATTACTTTTATTCATTATCTTTACAATTACCATCAAAAAACAAACTTTCCAAAACAACTTCAAAAAAATTTTTCTTTCACTAAAAAAAAAAAAGAATCATAAAAACTGTTTGCGGTGCTTTAACTTTGTGCACGCAATCCTCACATTTTCTTCTACTTCTATCTCTTCTTAATGATGGTCTTTTACTTATTTTTGTGTGTGATTTTTTTCCATCGTATTGCCATGCCTTCAATTCGATTGAATGAATTTTTTTTTGTGTGTCGCATTGGAAATTTCGTGCACGAATTTTTTATTAAACTTTTTTTTTTCTATCGTGTAAAAAGAAAAGAAATATTTCTTAGAGTGTGTAAAAACGTATAAGGAATCTTTTATACTAACTGTCTCTTCTTTCTTCTTTATAGGCATTGGTTTCAATCACATTCAACCTAATTTAGAAGTTCTTGCGATTGACGCAATTGATTCACGTAGAGTGCGTGTCATCTTTGTTGTACCACAAATTTATGTTGGCCTACATGGACGTGTCGAATTGAGATTTACAAATCAACCAAATAATAATGATACGAAGAGATGGCAATCACAGATTTTTGCCCCTCCAGATGATTTGATTGCAACATCACAATTGGAATTTGAATTAAGTTCTCTCGAACCGAATTCAGAGTATCGTGTGAAAATAACCTTAATATTACGCGATTTGCCTGCACAACCATCTAGTCAAGTTTATACTGTTCAAACACCTGCCGAGCGTACCATAACACCGCCATCAATTGATAATTATCAGCCAACACAAATGATTGACATATTAGATAGTCTTGAGGATCCAGAACTACAAGCAAGTGAAATTAATTCGACATTCATTAAATTTGTATGGAACAAAATACCCGATGATGTTATGCAATACGTAGATGGCATTCAGTTACGTTACAAGGAGCTTAGTGGTAAAGTTTATGATGCTACACCGCTGATTCATCGGTAATTTATTTTCAAATGATTTTGCAAAATTTAAATGATCCATAAATCCTTACATTCATGCATGTATTTTACAGTGCTTTAACATCATACACATTAGATAATTTGAAACCCGAGATGACATATGAAATCGGTCTATTCTATATACCATTTCATGGTCATGGTGCTGAATTGAGAGTAGGCGAAAGACTTGAGGTGACCACAAGTCAGAAAATTAACACATACGGATTCGAAGTTATTGTGAATGTCACAAAGATAAAACCAACAACTGTTGAGGTCGTTTGGAATGGTGTGCCGTATCCTGAAGATAAATACATCAATATTTTCCGTGCAATATATCAGAGTGATTCAGGAAAAGAAGACTCTAGTGTATTTAAAGTTGCTAAACGTGATTCAACAACAGGAACTATCATTAAAGATCTTAAACCCGGAACGAGATATCGCTTGTGGCTCGAGATGTACTTAACAAATGGTGGTATCAAGAAAAGCAATGTTGTGAATTTCTTAACCAAACCTGGCCCACCACCCTCAACTGGTAAGCAATAAACAACTATTTCAACTTTGATGAGGCAATTTACTCACATGGCAATTCACATGAGACTTTTAAGTATTCCATTTATTTGATATGAAAAATTTAAAGCTCATATAGTAAACAAAAACATTCAATAAGTTTAGCTCCAAGTTTATCGTTCTGATGATTTTTTCAGATAAATTGCTAACCGCGGGTAGTACATCACAGGGCGATTATTATGGCCCACTTGTGGTCGTTGGGGTTATTGCTGCTTTAGCTGTCATGTCAACAATCATTCTATTATTGATACTTACGAGGAGGCGCATCCAAAGTGCGACCATAACGCCACCAAGAAAAAATGACGTAAGCTATGACAACCCAAGTTACAAAGTTGAAATACAGCAAGAGACTATGAGTAAGTTTTATTTGTATATAAATTGACAAGATGTTTTTTAATTTCATAACTTTTCTTTTTCTTTTTTTTTTTTTTGATTGTGTGCTTTTAGACCTTTGAGACAGCCAATGAATTACCATTATCTTTCAAATGAAATTGGAAAATAAATTTTGTGTAAAAACATAATTTATTGAGCAAAAATAGACTTGAGTAAAATATATATATATAAATATAAAAAAGGGAGAACGGAGAACGAGAAATATCACATAAACGTAAAAATTCATCACAGATTTGTTTTTAAGTGCTGCTGTAAATAATAAACATAAAAAATAATTATTACTTAATAAATAGAATGTAAGGATCTGTAAATATAAAAAGCAGGCATCGTAAAATTAGATTCCAGTGAACACTCACATCACAAAATACACACTCATGTATACACACAGATAGGAAAATGAATGGATGAAAAATTTAATGGATGTCATTTAACCGCCCTCGCATAAAATATCGCAAAAGAAAATTATTAAGAATGAACATTGAATTGAAGAAAATTTAATTTGTAATTTTATGTGCATTATGGACAGTACATACATACTTTTTTCCAACATTTTATGATAGAATTTTCGATGAAATTTATATTTTTTATGGACCATTTCTTTAATAAAATGTAATTTATCAAAAAATTGTAATGCGAACTAAAATAATTAACCAATAAAACTTTTATCGATAAACTTTTAAGACTTATTTATTGCTAAAGTTTTTTTTAAATAAAACTTAATAAGTTAATCTATCTTTTCGCAAGGGGGGAGGGGGAGTTCTTTTTGCAAAGAAATGTTTAACTTCTTATTAAAATTCAAATATTTCAAAATAAAATCCCGCACAATATTTAGTGCAATCCAACATGTTTTCATTTCATGAAAAAAAGGGGAACTAAAGCAGATCACGCTTCATGAGAAAATTCACACCGCTTTTGGGTCGCACAGATAAAAATTAGCAAAAATCATTTATTCTGTAGAAATTAATTTGAATATTTGAAATTGTTATTGCAATAGATATGGTCAAGCCAACAAAATGCTACTTAATCAAAATGTTTCTAATAATCAAATGAAAATTAGTAAACAATAGTTGAGTTTCAGATAGTTTAAGTATGTTTCTGTAGAAAACATGAGAAAAAATAAAAAAATTATCTTTGCTGTTTCTAAAAGGGCTGGTCAAACTATGACATGTTTATCATCAGCAAACCGTTTCCAGTATATTGTGCCCATATATGACATATTATATATCGTTGGAAACATAATTTAAGCAGCTTGATAGTTAAAGTAATTAAAAGTATATTTAAAGTCATTTATATCTCATTGAAAATGAAAAATAATAATATTTCAAATTAAATTGGTCCAAGTCGATGCCAAAAACTCAAATTGATTTTAAAACATCAGAAACACTATTTTCTATCATTCCTGAAAGTTTTATCAAGTTTTAACATTATTTTTGAAGTGTATGCAGATGACATGTTTCAAATGGTTCAAGGTTTTTTTCTAGGTTTTCACAGTTTTAGAAAGATACGAGTGTAGGCTATATAAAACAGTTGAAACTTGTCTCTCCACTCACTTGGAATATGTAGTTATAGTCAATTAAAGTCAAAACATAGCTAAAGCTATAGCCCTATATTTTCGAAAAAATCTCTAAACGCATGTGCTCTACTACTCTAAAGTGTTCTTCAATTTTTAAGCACTTTATGTGATGTAAAATTTATATAACTGATATTTATATTAAAGCTTCGGCTTACATCTTTCATTTAAAAAAAGTTTCAAGAAAATTGGTTAAAACAAGAAAAAAATCGATTTTATTCCATAGTCATTATTGCCATTACAATTCACAACTTAGCATAAAGAGTCGAGACAAAGATGAATCGATCAAACATTTTGAATAAACGTTTTTCTCTTAATATCAAATTAGCGGACGTTAAAAACTTTTATCCAAAAAATTACATGAACTCAATTTTTATATAAAATTTTCTACTCTTGCATCACACTCGATATATTTTAATTCAAATCAGTTTCTCGAACAAAAAAACAGGTTTTTCTCGAAAATTATCCATTACCAAGCATAATTTTTAAAATTAAAATCGATGTTAGATTAATCAAGTTATTTTAATTTTTTGTCAAAATTACTGTCAGCAAAAAATGGAATAATCATGCGGAGAATCGAAAATTGAAGTAAAGTAAACACTAATTTTTTATTATGATCATGCAGAAATGTAGTATTAGTTGATTTTTCAGCTGACAGTAAAAAAAATAAGCTTTTATTTTCCTTATCCATGAGAAAAATTCAAAGTTAATATCAGCAAATATATTTAAAAACTAGTGTATCGGGCAGAAATCCAATGCGGATTATATTCACACCGTACAAAAGTCTTATGCATGCAGCATAAGTGTGAAGTTGTGAAGCTTGATTAGTCAACTGAGTTTCGCTCAGCATAAGTTTGAAGGTATAAAGCTAGCGAGTCATTCGATTTTCTCAGCAATGCCGCAACCAATTTGAAATCTGTTTTTTGAAAATGATGTTATATTTCAGAAAATGCGAAAAACTGATTTTTCAATCTGAACAAAACCAGTAGATGCCGATCGGCTTAGCATCGACTGACTTGAAATTCTGAGCTTACTATAGCTACATGCTTACAGAATATTACACAGAATCATAGAAAAGCATGTAAAGTTCAATTTAAATACTTAAAAGTTCTACAATAGCTTAAAATGTTCAGAGATGAAATTTCACATCTTTTTCAAAAAATAGATTTCAAATTGGTTGGGGCATTGCTGAGAAAATCGCAAAATATGCTTTCTGTAAGCAAGCAAACAAGCAAACAAGCAAGTTATTCAGCAAGAAATCTCAATAACGAGACATCGTACAGACATCGTACAGACATCTAGTTTTTAACATTTGATCCGTGCTACTCTATAGAAGAGCTGTATTGTTTTTAGGCAAGGTAGGAACAGCCGTTGCTTCGGAAAAAGCAAATTACTTTCCTTTCTTACGAATTTTTCAAATTAAAAGTTTACATTGTTTTTTTTTAAATTAAACTTTCGATGAAAAAAAATTTTTGAGCAAAGAAACAAGTAGGAAATACATTTTCAATTTTAGACTAGGGGCGACCATAGTCAAAATCAATTTTGTCACTTTTTTCTTCGAGGGTTTAACCAACTGGATTGAAACTTTGCATAAATATTCTAGTGCTTAAAACAAATACAAATAAAACATCCTAAAATTTTTTTGAGCAAAGAACCAAGTAGGAAATACATTTTCAATTTTGGACTAGGGGCGACCCTAGTCAAAATCAATTTTGTCACTTTTTTCTTCAAGGGTTTATCCAAATGGATTGAAACTTTGCATAAATATTCTAGTGTTTAAAAAAAAATACAAATAAAACATCCTAAAATTTTTTTGAGAAAAGAACCAAGTAGGAAATACATTTTCAATTTTGGACTAGGGGCGACCCTAGTCAAAATCAATTTTGTCACTTTTTTCTTCAAGGGTTTATCCAAATGGATTGAAACTTTGCATAAATTCAATTGCTTAAAAAAAATACAAATAAAACATCCTAAAATTTTTTTAGACAAAGAACCAAGTAGAAAATACATTTTCAATTTTGGACTAGGGGCGACCCTAGTCAAAATCAATTTTGTCACTTTTTTCTTCGAGGGTTTATCCAAATGGATTGAAACTTTGCATAAATACTCTAGTGCTTAAAACAAATACAAATAAAATATCCTAAAATTTTTTTGAGCAAAGAACCAAGTAGGAAATACATTTTCAATTTTGGACTAGGGGCGACCGTAGTCAAAATCAATTTTGTCACTTTTTTCTTCGAGGGTTTATCCAACTGGATTGAAACTTTGCATAAATATTCTAGTGCTTAAAACAAATACAAATAAAATATCCTAAAATTTTTTTGAGCAAAGAACCAAGTAGGAAATACATTTTCAATTTTGGACTAGGGGCGACCGTAGTCAAAATAAATTTTGTCACTTTTTTCTTCGAGGGTTTATCCAAATGGATTGAAACTTTGCACAAATATTCAATTGCTTAAAAAAAATACAAATAAAACATCCTAAAATTTTTTTGACCAAAGAACCAAGTAGGAAATACATTTTCAATTTTGGACTAGGAACGACCCTAGTCAAAATCAATTTTGTCACTTTTTTCTTCGAGGGTTTATCCAAATGGATTGAAACTTTGCATTAATATTCAAGTGCTTAAAACAAATACAAATAAAACATCCTAAAAATTTTTTTGAGCAAAAAACCAAGTAGGAAATACATTTTCAATTTTGAACTAGGGGCGGCACTAGTCAAAATCAATTTTGTCACTTTTTTCTTCGAGGAATTATCCAAATGGATTGAAACTTTGCATAAATATTCAATTGCTTAAAAAAAATACAAATAAAACATCCTAAAATTTTTTTGAGCAAAGAACCAAGAAGAAAATACATTTTCAATTTTGGACTAGGGGCGACCCTAGTCAAAATCAATTTTGTCACTTTTTTCTTCGAGGTTTTATACAAATGGATTGGAACTTTGCATAAATATTCTAGTGCTTAAAACAAATACAAATAAAACATCCTAAAATTTTTTTTGAGCAAAGAACCAAGTAGGAAATACATTTTCAATTTTGAACTAGGGGCGGCACTAGTCAAAATCAATTTTGTCACTTTTTTCTTCGAGGGTTTATCCAAATGGATTGAAACTTTGCATAAATATTCAATTGCTTAAAAAAAATACAAATAAAACATCCTAAAATTTTTTTGAGCAAAGAACCAAGTAGGAAATACATTTTCAATTTTGGACTAGAAACGACCCTAGTCAAAATAAATTTTGTAACTTTTTTCTTCGAAAGTTTATCCAAATGGATTAAAACTTTGCATAAATATTTTAGTGCTTAAAACAAATACAAATAAAACATCCTTAAAATTTTTTTGAGCAAAGAACCAAGTAAGAAAATACATTTTCAATTTTGGACTAGAAACGACCCTAGTCAAAATAAATTTTGTCACTTTTTTCTTCGAGGGTTTATCCAAATGGATTGAAACTTTGCATAAATATTCTAGTGCTTAAAACAAATACAAATAAAACATCCTAAAATTTTTTTTGAGCAAAGAACCAAGTAGGAAATACATTTTCAATTTTGAACTAGGGGCGGCACTAGTCAAAATCAATTTTGTCACTTTTTTCTTCGAGGGTTTATCCAAATGGATTGAAACTTTGCATAAATATTCAATTGCTTAAAAAAAATACAAATAAAACATCCTAAAATTTTTTTGAGCAAAGAACCAAGTAGGAAATACATTTTCAATTTTGGACTAGAAACAACCCTAGTCAAAATAAATTTTGTAACTTTTTTCTTCGAAAGTTTATCCAAATGGATTAAAACTTTGCATAAATATTTTAGTGCTTAAAACAAATACAAATAAAACATCCTTAAAATTTTTTTGAGCAAAGAACCAAGTAAGAAAATACATTTTCAATTTTGGACTAGGGGCGACCCTAGTCAAAATCAATTTTGTCACTTTTTTCTTCGAGGTTTTATACAAATGGATTGAAACTTTGCATAAATATTCAAGTGCTTAAAACAAATACAAATAAAAAATCTTAAAATTTTTTTGAGCAAAGAACCAAGAAGAAAATACATTTTCAATTTTGGACTAGGGGCGACCCTAGTCAAAATCA